GGGAGAACTTAACTAATAGCTCAGAGTTGTTAAAATCTTATCTAGCTCTGATTTAAAGGAACCCAAGGATTCAGCTTGCACTACGTTATCAGGAAGCCTATTCCATACTCTGACTACACGCTGTGTAAAGAAGTGCTTCCTTAAATCCAGAACTTGCTCCCATTTTGTTCTGGGTAGATACTCACGGGGGGACACTGGGTCAGCTTGTCTGCTGCCACCATCTGCACGTTCAGATGTTTGGCCTGAGACTTGCCCCTCGACTTGATTAGCCGCTGCAGGACCTGGGTGGGGGAGGGAGGGGCAACATCCATAAGATTCACTTCATTACAACAAATGTTTTCTCTAACTGCTGTAGAAGGAGGTGCTAGTAGTATATTTTGGTATGGTTTTAGCTGGGGGACCGGGGTATTGCTTTTAGATTTGCTCCGTTTTTGGATAAAGGCTGTTTTCCTTTCTAATCTCAGAAACTCTCGGATGCTTCTCATTGGAATAATGTGCACCAAAGCTGATCAAGTCAATAGCACTCAGTAAAGATGATTTTACCATTAATAAAGTACGCTTTGCCTCTATAAATGGTTTGGTTTGCTTACTGTCATCTCAGAACAGTAAGTCTGTAAGAACATTTAGCATGATGCAATCACTGAGCCTTTTCGTGTTTGGCACCTGTCCACCTCCTACAGAATTGCATATACAGTAGGTAAGGGGGAGGAGGCGTGAGCAGTACCTTGGTGGAGGAGATCTTGATGTAGACCACAATGGGGGCCAGAGAGGTCTTGGCCAGCTGGGATGGGTGGTTGATGGTGTCAGCATCTAGGGCCACTAGCTGCAGTGTGCGGGCCAGCTCAAAGATGCGCTCGATCTCACTCTGTACCTCAGCTGTGTGTACGGGGGAGGGGGGGTGGTCAGTGTGGGGGTGCAGCTTCACATGATTCACTGAGACCTTCGGTTACTCCAATTCCAGCATGCAGTGGGACTGCGGAAGCTTGCCAAAATGCAGTCGGGACTGCGTGTTCTGGACACACGGCTTGCTTCCCTCTCTGTCCATGACAGTGATGATGATGGTGATTATTATTATTACTGTATTAACAAAAGTATACTGCTGTGCAAAGTAAGAATAAGGGTCAAGCTGTAAAAAGCAAAAGCCAAAAAAATTTGTAATGCCTCTATGAGTTTTCCTCCTTTACACAGACTTATACAAACTATTAGCTGTAAACAACGCTGTGTAATGGATGAACCTGAACTACTGACATCATTTAGATTGCTTAGAAAATAACAGAAAAGTTGGCCTCCTGTCCAGGGTGCGCCCCTGCCTTGTGCCCTGTGCTGTCTGTAACAGGTTCCAGATCCACACGTGACCCTGCTCAGGAAGAGAGGTTGAAAGATGCATGGATTGATGATGGAAAAGTATTATGACTTAAAACACAGACTTAAAAATTAATTACATTTTTTTTCTTATTTTCAATAAAAAACAAACTTCAATATAGGATATTGTCATTTTATAACTTTACCAGCTTATACTTTCAAAATATTAATTCAGCAGGGCTGTGTTACTGCTGGCACAATGTAAAATAAGTAACAAATTTTGTTAAATGAACATTTTAAAATAGACTGTGAAGCCTGGAAATGTTTCACTATCTTCATTTCTGTATTTCAAGGTTTTCAGGGTTGTTTTTTGCAGCAATGATGTGCCTGCACCAGGCAGCCAGGCTATTCTCCATCTGAGATTAAATGGACAGCTGCAGTTGGTGGGCTTAGGCTGAAGCACTGAGGGCTAAGCCAAGCTGAACCACTTGGAACCAACTGGGACCAGGCAAAAAATTATCCAGACAAGAGAGAAGCAAGGTTACAAAAGCGGGCCCACGGCCAGATGGGACCGCAAAATGATGACGGCGGCAGACAGAGTGCATGTGATGGAGCTCACGCTGGAGCAGACACCTACACACACACGCACCTCGCAGAAATGCCAGAGTAGCTCCATAGCTAAAGATCAAACCACTTACCTCTCATTTCAGCAGAACACACATATACATCGCCAAAGAGAGCCATAGAACATAGCAGATACCTATACCACTGCCCAGAATCCCCAACCGCTCTATAAATCCTCCTTTGTTACACTAAAAGACACTCAGAAGCCAGGACATAATCACTAGTAATATCTGCATTGGCATATGCTGAATATCCTTAAAATCGCTTCCAGATTTATTTGAAATCTTCAAAAACAACTAAAGTGTTCATATATTTCAACACTTTCAACAAATCTTGAATGCAGTAAAATAGGCACACATCTAGGAGAACACTGCTCAGGTGAGGAATCTCACCTCAGGCAGTACACAAGTCCACCTTGCCACTGCCACACTCTGCTGCCCCCTGCTGGAGATCCTCCCACAGTCACTGTCTCTACCGTGTTCCTCAGGCTATACAGCTCACAACACATTCTCCCTAGCAGGTGTGTGTAGCCTGCTTCTTTTAAGTATTAGCATATAAACTCTGATATGTAGCTTTTTCTGAAAACCAGCCATAGCAAAGGCAGTGAGCAAGAATTCTACCCCAAGACCAGATAACCAACATATTATATACATAACATCACTGTACCTTTGGTAACCTCTCAGTGGTTCAACAAAATATGCTGTATTATCCTGTTGATATCAAAACTTTTACAGTATTTCCTGGAATCTCCATTTTGTTTAAGGATGCCTTTGTATGTAAAATGTGTATAAATAGTATACTTGCAGACCTGATTCTCATCTAATCAATAGATTTCACTCTGGACACCATGGGGACTCTGTTTTTTTAATCTTAATCATTTAGCCATTATTTTAGAAGCATCTGTGTACAAATATGCATAAATTGCAGTGCAATGTGTGTTAACTATTAATTCAGAGAAGGAAAAGAACATGTGAATTCTCTATCATTACTGAGAGTGGTATGGGACTTGGTACTGACAGGAAGAGCAGTTTTGGTAAGATCTCTGGTAAGACTTTTGGTAAGATCCTCTTCACCAGGAGACAGCAGTATGACCTGCAGCTCTCCTCCGCTGAACATGGAGCCACCATGCACCATAATCATTCATTTTGTACAAGCAGCAGGCATATTAGAGCTTTCAGTCAAGTGTGTGGATGGAGAGCACAGAGTAGACAAGCTGACAGGCAGGTGGGCAGGATGTTTAGAGAACAGAATGAGGAGACACAGGGTGCAGTGGGAGATACGTACCCAAAACATCTGAGTAAGGGAAGAGTGGAAGGCAGGGAGGAGCGGGATGGTGCAGAACAGAGACAGAATGAGAAACAAGAGAAGAAGCCATGTAAGACATTCAGGAGAGAGGCTAGTGAACGGGGGGGGGGGGGGTTACTCTGGGGCCATATCCTCACAGGCGACAATAGGCAAAGCTGCCCTGTCACTGTGCTGGGCTACTGAAGAGCCCTGTGAAGAACACTGACAGGCATGAGCACTCAGGGTGGTGGTGGGGGCTGCCATGTCAGTTATTACGATCTAAATGTTCATTTGTCGGCCATCAGAAAATGCCAGAAGGCCCAGGGAAAGCCATGTGTTACCCTGACAAAGGGGCCGTCACAAGCAGTCAGAACGCACATCCACACAGGCCTTTAAAAGACCACTTTCAACAGTACTTATGTATATAAGATATGGATGGAGAAATATTCCCTAATGCATGAGGGAAGAAATTAATGAGCAGCCAATGAAACGCTTTAAAGGAAAGAACATGTACACAGTATTACTATTTCTAACCAATAAAAACGCATTACAGTCATCTTTGGCTGCATTTTAATGGATGAGAAATGATAGGGGATGCATTTATTCCCTTCAACGGCATGAAAATAGATTTATTTTCAAGGTCTTGAATCCTTATTCAAAAAACATATATTACAATACTGTTTTGCATTATCTGGAATTATCTGCAGTGCAATCTCTCATGGCACACAGTAAAGAGAGGACACAGGTAAGCGTGAGTAGACATGGCCAGTCTTACCCAGGCTGGAGCGCGTGCTTGAGCGTTCGATGATGGTGTGCTTGCTGGGGTTGTTGAGCACAGAGCGTTTGGCCAGGGAGATGTCCGCTGTCACCCGAGTGATAGATATCCTAAAAAGAGTGGCTGCTTAACTGTATGGCTGGTTCTCAGGTGCTGACCTGATGCTATAACTGGGTTTCCTCCTTAGAAGTGCAGACAAACTCTGCAGCACACACACAGGAACAGACTGCCAGCCAAGAGCAGGCCTCCGGGTCTGTCCACTGACACCAGGCACCATCACACACACACAGGAACAGACTGCTGGCCCAGAGCAGGCCTCTGCATCTGTCCACAGACACCAGGCATCATCACACACACAGGAACAGATTGCTGTGCAGGTTTCCACAGACACACCCTAACCCATTTCAGATGTAACACACACCTCGTTGGGATTTACAGCTGATGTGGCCATAGCCTTCTCTACTGTCCCAGCAGGGGCACTTGAACCTGACCTCATCCAGCCAGGCAGATGTGTTAATAATTAATTGCACAGCATTGTAAGCTAATAACCAGAGAGTGATGATGAATTTCTAATTTGCTTTACATTAATCGGGTGCCATAAGGGGGAAACCCTGCATGTTTTGTTAAGATTTCAGAGCTGCCTGGTGAGAGGTGGACAGAACCACTTTAGTGCATGACAAGCAGGCCTGTATCTTCCAGAGCAGCAGCAGAGACCACCGGGAAGGAACCTGAACAGCTGAGGAGACAAGGCCAACACCAGCTTGGAGCTAAAATATTTTAAAATAGTACACTCTCAACAATGGAAGCCATGCGATGGAGAATTTTTTAGAACCATTTTCTTTTTCTGTCATGAGATGTAGCAAATGAGAAATCAACAACAGATCCTGCCGTAGGTTTATTTTCATGTGCAGTGTCCCACAAGCCACGTCTACCCAAGTATAAATATCTGAAGCATGCACCTTACCTGCCTTCAAACTTGTGTTTAAGAAAATCAAAGAGTGCCTTCTGCATCATATCAGTCACCTGTAGGAAGTGACGTAAATAACTACATTAGAGAAAATAATATAATCATCCTTCCTTTTTCCCAACACTCAGAGAGTATAGGGTCACACCACAGGAGAATATCCACCGCCAGCGCTGGAGGTGTGAGGACACAGCGCTGCCCACTGAGTCATCGCACCACCCCCATCTCAGGCACTCTCTGCTCTAGAATCTGCACTGCTTTCTGTTATGTTCATCTTTGATATTCCCCAGTTAACTAAGTAACTTTCCATTACTTGGATATATCCAGTAAATTTTGACAATATTAACAGCAGAACTAACAAAAAAGAATTCCCCAGCTTTGTGGAATCCCCTTTCAGCATGAGCTCTAGGGGTGGGGGTGGAGGATTCGATTCAGTTACAAACTCAAGATTCTTTGAGGTGGTGATTCTTTGATTGCTACCACAGTTAAAAATTGATGTCTAAATATCTATTTAAGTGTAGGTTACTATAATTATGTTGGTCACATATGTAAGGAATAATTGACGACGGGCCGTTGAATTATTAGAAAAATAATGCACACCCGAGGTGGTTACACCTCGGGTGTGCATTATTTTTCTAATAATTCAACGGTCCGGAGTCAATTATTCCGCTTATACTACGGTTGCCACACCTCAAGACATCGATCAGATGATATATTTCAAGGGATTCGTCCGGTTTTCCTACTTAAATCGCTATTGTGAGTAGGATTATTTCTTCCGCATCTCATCCAACGACTCTTTTGCTAGTTCCAAAACGTCATT